TTTAGTTTTTTGAGAAAGCTCCATGCTGCTCACTTGTTGGGCTACTTGACAATTCCCACCAACAATGCAGAAAGCTTCCTTCCCCTACAATCTCATCCGTATTTGTGTGTTTGTTTATTTTTTCAGTTCTTGATGATAGCTGTTTTTACTGGAGTAAGATAGAATCTTGCTTTCATTTTCATTTCTCTATTAGCCAAGGATGCTAGACATTGTTCATGTACTTACTGGCCATTTGTACTTCTTTTGAGAAGTGTCTTACTATCTAGGTCTTTGATCCATTTGACTTGATTTTAGTACAGTGAGCATGTGGGTCTATATTGGTTCTTGCACGTGTATATAACCAATTTTCCCAGCAATATTAGTTAAAGAAGCTATATTTTGTCCAGCGTATATTTTAGTCCCTTTGTCAAAAGTCAAATGGCTGAATGTGCCTGACATTGTTTCTGCATCCTCAATTCTGTTCCACTGATCCACGTGTCTGTTTTGTGCCAGCACCATGCTGTTTTTATTGTTGTAACTTTGTAGTACAACTTGAAATCTCATATTGTGATGCTTCCTGTTTTCCCCTTTTTGCTTAAAATTGCTTTGGCTATTTTGGAACCCTTCTGGTTCCATGTCTATTTTAGAATTTTGTTTCTAGTTCCGTGAAGAATGTTGTTACTATTTTGATTGGAATTACATTAAATCTTTATATCACTTTTGATAAGATGGCTATTTTGACAATATTTGTTCTGCCTATCCAGAAAAAGCTCGCCTTTTTCTATTTTTGGATGTCCTCATGACCACCTTTTTAGACTAATTGGACCCTTGACTTACAAGCTCAATTTGTTCTCAAGGGATGGTTGTAACTCAAGTCGGTCAGTGAAGGCTCAGGTTCCCCTACAAGAGCCTTCAAAGTCTCTCTCCTGTGTGCAGGCAGATCTCAGTGTCCTTAGAGACAGTGGCCCAGGATTTTTCAACTTACCCCACACAGGAAAGGATGTTGTAATGTTCCTTCCAGAACTCTTTATGGGTTAAATCTGTGTTTGAGACCATCTGGAAGCACAAGCAGCCAGCATTCGGGTTGTAACTCAAGACTTTGGTCACAAGTTAAAACTAAAATTCTGGTCATAACCCAAATTGTTCCTACGTCACGCTGGGCATAACTTGAGGGTCCACTGTACTTACTACAGGTTTTACTATAGAAGTCTTTTATCTCCTTGGTTAGGTTAATGTCTATGTATTTAAGGTTTTTTTAAGTTACCACAGTCAGGATTATTTTCCTGATTTTTTTTCTTTGTGTGTTCATTGTTAGTGTTCAGAAATGCTATTGATTTTTGTTGATTTTTTTACCCTACTACTTTGCTGGATTTTTTTTATTGGTTCTAAGAGTCTTCTGGTGGAGTCGTTCATGTAAAGGATCATGGCATCTCTGAATAAGGATACTTTGACGTCTTCCTTTCCATTACATGGCCCTTTTATTTCATTATCTGGCCTGATTGCCTGCTAAAGTTTTGGTACTGCATTGAACAGGAGTGGTGAAAGTGAACACCATTGTTTTGCTCCTGATTTTAGAGGAAATATTTTCAGATTTTCCCCATTTACTTGGATGCTGGCAGTGGGTTTATCTAAAATGACTTTTATCAGATTGACATACGTCCTTACATGCCTATTTTCACAAAGGTTTTTATTATGAATGGATGTTGGATTTTTTTTTCCTGTGACAATCGTGAATTTTTTGTCCTTGCTTCTGTTCATGTGATGAATTATGTTTATGGACTGGCACATGTTAAAACCATACTTGCATCCCAGGCGCCACCTCTGTTGATCTTTTCAATGTTTGTTACATTTGCTTGCCAGTATTTCATTGAGGATTATTGCGTCTATATCCATTAAGGAGATTGGTAAATAGTTTTCTTTTTCTTTCTTTTTTTAAATTAAATCCTTGTTCAGGTTTGGCATCAGGGAAGTGTCAGCTTCCGGGAATGACTTCGGCAGTGCTCCATCCCTTTCTTTTCATGGGAGAGTTTCAGGAGTGTTGCTGCTATATTTTCCCTAAGTCTCTGATAGTCTGTGTTTGGACCTCTCAGGTCCTGGGTTTAATGGGCAGTTTTTATCACTGCCTCTACTTCACTGCCTGTTATTACGGGTTTTTACTATCTTCTTGGTTCAATTTTGGTGATTCATATGTGTCTAGAAATTTATCAATTTCTTCTAGGTTCTCCAATTTATTGAAATATATACTTTCAATGTAGTTTCCTATAATCCTCTGGATTTTAGCAATTTCCACTGTAATTTCACCTTTTCCTTTCTAATGGCACTGATATTTTTTTTCTCTATCTCGAGAAATAAAGAAAGTTTGGGTAAGAGTTTATCAATCTGGCAGGGTGTGGTGACACACGCCTATAGTCCCAACACTCGGGAGGCTGAGGCAGAAGGATTGCTGTGAGTTGGAGACCAGCCTGGGCTGCATAGTGAGTTCCAGGTCAGTCTCAACTACTTAGTGAGAGCCTGTCTCAAAAAAAGAGAGTCTATCAATTTTGTTTATCCTTTCACAGAACACACTCTAACTCATTAATCCTTATTTTTTGGTCTCAATTTCATTAATTTCTGCTCTGATTTTTTTTTTTTTTTTTTTTTTTTTTTGAGACAGGGTCTTATTATGTAGCCCAAGCTGTCCTTGAACCCACAGTGATTGTCTTGCCTCGGCCTCCTAAGTGCTCTGCTCTGATCTTTATAATTTCTTCCTTTCTGCTGGTGATTTGCATTGTTGTTGTTACTCTAGGACATTGAGATGCATCATGAGATAATTCATTGGACCCACTGTATTCTTTCGATATATGTATTTATATCTGTAAACTGTCCTCTAAGAACTACTTCCATTGTTTCCCATTGGTTTTGGTATTTTATGCTTCCATCATCATTTGATTCTAAGTACTTTTAAATTTCTTTCCTAATTTATTCTGTTATCTGTTGATTTTTCAATAATTTATTCTTTAATTGCCATGTATTTGCATAGTGTTTGTAATTTCTTTTGCTGCTGACTTCTAGTTTCATTATGGTACAGCCTAGTAGTATACAAGAGATTATTTTCATTGTTTTATATTTATTTAAGCATGCTGCATAGCCTAAGGTATGATCTATTTTGAGAAAAGGTCTGTGTGCTCCTGCGAAAATGTGCATTCTGTTGTTATTGGGTGAAACACTTTGTAGATAACTGTTAAGTCACTTTATTCAATAGTGTGGCTTAACTCTGGTATTGTTTTTTCTTTTTAAATATGTTTTGTTTTGGTTTTTGTCTAGTTGACCTAATTGTGAGAGCGGGGTACTGAAGTTCCCTGCTGTGACTATACTGGTGTCTGTCTGTCCTTTTATGTCCAGTAGTTTTTGTTTATGAAGTTAGATGCACTGACTTTAAGTGCATATATATTTACAATTGTCATCTCTTCCTGTTGGATTGTTCCCTTTTAATTGCCATTTTTGCCTCTTCTGAATGGTTTTGTTTTGAAGACTCCTCTGTCTGAAAATAAGATAACTACTCCTCCTAGCTTTTGGGCTCCTATGACTTTTTGTTTGTTTGATTGTTTGGTACTGGGGATCAAACTCTGGACCTTGTGCTTGCAAGACAGGCGGTGGAACCACTGAGCTAAATCCTGGGTCCCCAATGACTTATTTTTGATGCAATCTGCTAGTTTGTGTCTTTCAATTAGTGAGTTAAGACTGTTGATGTGGAGAGTTACTATTATAGGGTATTTACTGAGTCCTGTAGTTGCCCTATTTTTCCAGTGCAGATTTCTTTTTTCTTTTTCTTTTTCCTTTTAGGCTTTTTAGTGCTAGAGGTCTCTCTTTCTCTGTCTAGGAGTCTCTTAAGTATTTTCGGCAGTGCTGGTTTGGGATTTCTTTATCATGGAAAGTCTGTACTTCTCCATCAACTGTGAAGTCTAATTTTGTGAGACATAGCTCTCTAGATACAGAAAATAGTTGACATTAAATGCCCACTATGTAGTAATGATTCTCTTCCTCTCCTGCTTCTTCTCAAGCTTCATCCTTGAAGTCCTAGTCTTTAACTATTGTCTTAGAACTCCTAAAGACAGTGTTCACTTTCCCTTTTTGGTGGCTACATAGGATTGTTCTACTCTGGGGCTTCCTTCTCACTCTTATCAAAGTCAAAGCCAGAAAACACACTGTCCTCAGAAAGTCTGGAGATGATGCCAAGTAAATGTTCCTAAAACGCAGGAAGCATCCATGCATATAACGCAAACTTTTGGAAGCCTCCAAGTGTACATCAGCAAAGAATTAGATGAAGAAAACCCCATTTGATGGCACTCTGTGGAGCAGGTCAAAGTAATGAACTGGAGTAGTTAAGCACACATAGCCTTTACCATGTGCTGGATTTGTCTATAGATATTAGCTCATTTCAACCTGCGAACAGCCAGGTATGGTAGACAGCAGCAGCAGCAGCAGCAGCCTTGCTGATGGGGAAACTGAGACATGGAGAAGAGAGCCCCTTTTATGTGTGCAACAGGGAGACATCTCACGATTTGCCAGGGTAATACAGTACCCCAGAAGTTACATGAAGTTCAAAAATACACAAAGAAGTACATTTGTCCTGGATACACAGGTGTAATAAAAATTTTAAAACCAGGAGAAGAAGAATACAAACCAAGTACATGCTGCTTCAAATGAACAGAAAGAAGATTGGGACCAAAAGAGAACAGAGAAGAATTTCTGTTGTGTGTAGGACCTTTTTATTTTATTTTTAAAGGGCAACATGTTACGATCAGATAGTTCTGGGTAATGTATCTACTGATTTTCAGTGCACATCTCCTTGTACATCTATGCAGTTTTAAATCGTGAAACGTAATATACATATAGAAAAGGACTTAAAATGTTCGTAGTATTTCACAAATAACAATTAAGGCAACAATGTAACCACCTTACTGGTTCAAAAAAGAGAGTAATACATTTCCCAGCATCGTGAAACCTTTTTCAATCAGCCTCTTTCTGCCCTCTTCCTCCAGGCACGCACTGCCCAGAGTTCTGTGATACTCCCTGGCTTATTTCCTGTACAATTCTACCACTTCACGTCTGCAACTGAGCGACCTCAGACAGGTGTCCCAGTTTCCGAAGTCCAGTAGGTAGAACCTTGTGGTGTGCTTCCCTGTGTGTCTGTCTTTGCTTAGCGCTGGATTTGTACGATTTATCTGCATCAATTTCTGTTTTGACTCCTGGTTGATGGTTGTGTTGGCTTCTTTAAAATTTTCATGCTTAAAAGAAAAGGATTTTTCCAGGAGATATCCAAGGACAAATGTCCTCAGATGGTTCCTCCAATTTTCCTTCGGAAAGGAGAGCAGTCTTAATTGCATAACTACAACAAGGCACTTCCCTTTGAACTTCTGATTTATTTTCTTTAATTTCTTGTTCATCTCCCTTAGTAGTTTTTCACTGCTATTTTATTTGCCTTTTCATTGTGAAGGGTTGTAGCCAAAAAGGGATTATCAAAGCCCCTGCCCAGTCTACACCCTTTGTCTTACATATGAGGAAACAACCATTGTATTTTGCACAGTTTAAAAACTGTAATTTTTAAATACACTTTTGTAGCCCTGAGGCCTATAGATGGTGATTTGGACAATGGGATAGGAGTTTTAAATGCTCCACTGTCTTCTGGCAGCTGGTGAATTGTGTGTGTAACAATAAAGCTTTAACAGTGTTTCTCTGCAGGGTGAATTCACTCTACACGAGGCCCACACAGAGTGTCACAAAGATGTTGCCAAACATCTAAATAAAAATTTCCCCTCCTCATTTAATTTCTATACAGCAAGGCTTTATTTAAAAAAAAAAAAAAAAAAAAGGCCAAGCACAGAGGCATCTCTGTATTGTGAGGACCTCAGCAACGCTGTGAAAGGTAACTTTCTCCTCCCCAATGCCGCCATTAATATGTAAAAGCTTAAGCTTGCTAAAGGGATTACTGCGCATCCTATCTGATGGTAAACTGGCACTGCGACGATTCCATGTATCTTTTTGTCATGTCCTCATGGAATATCTTACCCTCGAAATGTGTAGTTGCCCTCTTACTAATGTTAGTGATTAAACTGGCATACATGTGACATGTTGCCTTACATGGGTGTTGTATTTGCAATGTCCAAGGTCTTAAATCTATGCTCTATAGAATGGCTATTCTATCAATTACAAATATACACACAGGTCATACATATAATGTAATATATATATTACATAATATGCATGCGTATGTTATATGTTATGGTACCAAGAAACACAAATCCCATGGGCAGGTTATTTAGTGTGAGTAAAGACGCTCTAATCTCTGCCTTTACTCCCTACATATTCTGGGTGCTGGAGAAAAGTACTATATATCAACCAGTACTGTCTGACGCATGTGCTGTACTGCTTTCCAGAAGACACTGCCACAAACATTTGAGGCATGGTCCCCGGCCCAAGGACATCTCAGCTGAAATTCCAACAGCGGGCTCTATCTACCATCTCCTCTGTCAGGCTACTTCTGCACTTCCGCGCGAGGAACAGTATATACTTCTGCACTTCTGCGCGAGGAACAGTATGGCCGAAGGCATCTTTGGTCATCTCTCTGGACACAAAAGGGACCTCTTGGCCTGAGGCAATTTGTGGGAAGGAACAGTGCTGCTGGACCCAATGCTGGCACGGCAGGACCAGGTGGGCAGCCAAGAAAAACCCTGTATGTGCAGATTCAAATATGGATGAGCACCACCTGAGCGGACAGGGAGGGCTGGGTAGGGCTGGTCTCCTGCTATGTGGCAGGCTGTTTTCTCTGAGGAATGGTGGCAGGTTAAGGGTTCAGTGACATCTATGTTACTGCTAGGTTGTACTCGCCCGTGATAGGAGCTAGGTCAGACTTAGTGAAAGGGATGTGTGGTATTGGGCCGGGCATTCCTCAGTGCCTTCTACAGTGGCCATGACGTCAGTGGACCCACTGCATGTCATCAGGACAGCTGAGCAGGAGGACTGGCTGACATCCACAGATGAGTTCCGCTCCTGTGCTGTTTAAGAACCTCCCCCGTGACAGCTGCCTGGCAGGTCAGATGCAGTTGCACTCAAAGGCACACATGCCTCAGACTATTCTATTTTCATATACCTCTTACTCCAGACTCCAAAATCATCAGCTTCCCAGTCCCTTTGCTGCACAATCTAGGTGTAACTAGGAGATCGTAAGTACCCACCATTCCCTTCCTATCACTCATTTTCAATTCCCTCTCCTTTGGTTAGCAAGTGTGATAGGCAGGCCCAGACCCTCCATGGCCACAATCACTGCCCTTGTCCATCTACTGTTGAAACTGTGCACAGTTCATTAACCATATCCTTGGCACTGAGAACCAAGCATATCCCAGCCTTTCTGTGTAACACCAGTGCTACTTGCTGGTGCTAAGCTCCCTGCAAGCCCGCCCTGCTCCAGCTCTACTCTGGCTTTGCTGCTAGTTGCACCTATCTTGCTTCTGATGTTTAGCACTGCGAACTCTTGCCCCCCTGCTCTCAGCTCAAGTGTGTGTGCCATTGTCACCCCTGACCTGAGCTGACCCTGAGTTTCTCAGTGACATTGGGGCCCCTCACCTTCCTACCGCAGGTGGAGCACACTCAATGGGGGTTTTTAGATTCTCACACTTCACTTGGCATTTTCATCATTCTTTCTAGGCTACTAGGTGATCTCATTAGCACTGTCTCTGGGATCTTTGATGGCCCATTAAATCTTGTGTCACTAAAGATTATTACCATTGCAATAAATTCGATCTTACTGGATTGTATGTACTACCCCTTTAATGTAGCCCCCTCAGGAACTGGTCCCCATATCTCCTCTTGACTATAGCTCATTCTATGTTTCGTCTTTCCTCCTTGGACAGCCTAGCACATTCTTAGTTGAGCTATGCAGAGATTTGATCTCTGTTGTTGGTCTGGTTACGGGAGGGGTGGTAGGGCAGTGAGTGGTAAGGTAACAGGGAGATGCACATGGTCTTTTAGGGTTCCATACTGATCTTGGTATAAAGCCCACTACTTTGGTGATTGTGTCTTGAGCCCAGTTCTTCATTCTGTCTGTGCTTTGGCTGTAAGACAGCAGGATGCCCTTAAATGCTACCAAACAGCCCTCTTCTGCATTTTGTCTTGATTTGCTCATTAATTGGGCAATCCTGAAGTTTCCTTTACTCGACCAATCACTGATACTGAACAATAGCCACACAACTGCACTGTGCTCCTGATCATTGTTCTCATATCTCTTAAGCAATAGATATGTAGTACTGGGCAGTAAATCTCCTCCCACCACCTCCCAGTTCACCAGCAGTGAATTTTTAACAATTACATTGTGAAAGTATGCCAAGAGCTAACACAATCCCACCTGCTGGGGAGACAGCGTTCTCACTGCCAGGTGGCTGATACTGATCCAGTTCCAAGATTCCATTTAGATTCTGGTTTTTAGCACATCTGTGATATCAGCCATCCTCCACTGGATTTTCCAGAAGCTCATTCTGAGATGAAGAGTCGCACACAGAAGGCTCTCCAGGGAGGCCTTTCAGGGGGTACATCGAAGGGAAATGACAAGGGAAGGGTTGAGCAGAGGACAAAGCTGATTCACGATGCAGTTGTCGTGGAGACTTCAAATGATTCATTCAACAGAGAGCTCTAAAACTAGGGTGGCCCTTTACAGTTGCTCAACACAAAGGCAACAGATCCAGATCTTTGTACCTCCACAGTTTCCGGTTATTAGCAAAAGGCTTCCTAGGGAGAAGGGTAACCTTGGATGAAGCTTTTTCCAGTGACAGGTACACCTGCAAGCTGTTAGCAAATAGCATTACCAGTGTCGATATACGTTGGCTCCAGACAAAGGATCTGGACAGGATACCACAGCTTCCCGTGTACACAGTTCAGAGTTTCCACGTGATTTCCGCTGCTCCCCAATTCAGCTGTCCCTATTTCATAGTAAAGAACTTAGGTCCAAGGCAGCACTTCCCGCTCTGAAACTCAGCTTATACAAGACAACCTTTATCACATTTACCAGGAATATGACTGCCCCATTGCCGGTGGACTTCTTATTACTAAAATGAAGAGAATCTTCTGAGCTCTACTGGGGAATATGGTCAGATGACTATTTATGGGTTTATGCATCATAAATCCATTCTAACATACTCACATCCTTGGGCCTGTTGGTCTCTTTTTCTATGCCCAGGAAATCTGACATCTCTAACTTATTTCAGAAGCCATATTCAAACCCAGGTATTAAGGAACTACCCCGGCTAACTCTTGGAGTAGTTCACAAAAGCTCTAATTCAAGAGGAACAGAATCAATATAATATCACATATACATATATGTGTGTGTGTGTGTGTGTGTTTGTGTGTAATGGGGTGTACTGATAGGTTTATTGGATCAGAGGCAGAAGAATCCAAAATGGTTGCCTGCATCTGAAGGCTTGGAGGATCCAGTGGCAGTCAAAGTTTGAAGACCCGGCAGCTCACTTAGAGTTATCAGTGTGAATCTGAAGAAACTGGAGGCCAATGTTTAAAGCCAATGGCAAAGGCCAGAGCTCTTCCAAAAAGGCAACACTTCCTTTTTCCCCTTTTTATTCTGTCCAGGATACAAGCTGGGTCCGCCCTCCTCAGTTTGCTGGCCTAATGTCAACATCCACAGTCACATCAAAACTTCACTAATTTGCTACTATGTAGTTCTTACTCAAGTCAAATCGATATATCACAATTAATGGTCACAACATAATAACAGATGTTACTGTTCCTTTGCAAATATTATAGGAACTAAGCTATTGGGACATTAACGAGACTAGGAATCAGTCATGAGAAACAGGAAAAGGTTATAGTCATTGTAATTGAGAACAGGTGGGGATTTTGGGCCACAAGAAAAAGAAACAGAAGTTGAAGGATCACAGTTTTTTCTATTGAGAGAAGAAACAGCTAAAATATGTTACCGCCTGGGATACCTTCCTTTGGTACTTTCAAATCTTCAGTTTAACAAATGTTCTCATTGATCCGATTCTCCCTAATGTGTGCTCAGCGACATCACAGAGGAGAAGTCCATTTAGTGCGAATCAAGCATAAGACCAGAGCTGGTGCAGTAACAAGAGGGCCTCAGGGGCTGGATCA